TCAATAGAACCAGAGGCTTTGTAATTTGATTTTTCCAAAATGAAGAACTGACAACAACGGCGACAAAGACGAAGACGACAACATGCGCGCGCGCTCTTGCACATCCATCGGCCCCCGAATATTTCCATCGAGCGCGACCCGGCGGGCCCCTCGCGCGCGCGCCGACATCGTTCGAACGCCATTGGACGCGCGCCTGCGCGCGGGGGGGGGGGCGGGGGCGCGGGGGGGCGCGGCCCCTGTCAAATGGCGCCGCGTGGGCCACGCGCGCCCTGGCCGCGCGCGCGACATATTTCTGCTGGAACCTGCGTGGCCGTCGCGCGGGCGCCGTCGTCGTCTTCGGCGCGACCGGCATCGGCGCCGTCGTTGGCCATGCAGTCGTCTTTGTTGCCGTCGTCGCCGGCGTCGCCGCTCGCGCCGTCGCGCTTGCCGCCGTCGACGCGGCCGCGGCGCCGCGCCCGCCCGGGCCGCCGACTCGCGCTGCAATGTCCGCGCGTCAGCGCGGCCCGCGAGACGCGCCAGGAAACCCAGCGCCGCCGCCGCCGCGTCGGTCGCGCCGAGACTCGCCGGCCGCCGCGCGCGCGCGCCCGCGCGCGGCGGCGCGGCCGCGGCCGCGCGTCAGCCAGCGCCGCGCAGTCGCAGCCGCCGCCGCGCGGACCTTCCACGCCCAGGGCCCCTTGCCACCATCAAGTTCAACTGTCCGCGCGCACTCCCGCGTCGTAAATCCACTGCCGCCGCTCAGCCCGCGCGGGATGACGACGCAGTCCACGCGCGCGGGGCCGCGCGCGAGCGGCAAAAAAAACTCACGAGGCATGCGCGGGGATTTTCAACATTAAGGTTCGACAGCAAAACGCAAAACAGCGGTTGCGCAAAATGGCTCGTCGCATCGATGCGCGCTCGGGCCCTTGCCAATCCGCGCGGGAACCACATGCGGGTTCCACCCTAGCCCTCCGCATTCGACCAAAGGGGGGCGCCTCTCGCGCGCGCGCGTCGCAGTCACTTGAACGCCCTCGCGCGCGCGCTGGAAGGGGGGGGGGGGGGGGCGCGATCCCCGCCTGGAAACGCCGCGCGGGCAGCTCGCGCGCGCGTGGAAATCCTTCCACAACCGTCACCGCCGACGCGTAGGCGCTATGGTCGTCGCCGGCGCGATTAGCATCGGCGACGTCATGAGCTTTGCCGTCGTCGCTGTCATCACCGTCGCCATCATTGCTACTGTTACCATCGCGCCTGCGGTCGTCGACGTCGCAACGACGCAGTGCCCGCCGGAAGTCGCCCATTCGCCCTGGGCCGCCCGCGCGTCGGCGCGGCTGGCGACGTGCGCTGGGGGGCCCCCAGCGGTAGGCGCCGCCGCGTCCGCGTCGGTCGCGCCAGACTGGCCGGCCGCCCTGCGCGCGAACTGGCGCGCGAAAGCGCAGCCGCACCGGCGGGTCAGTCAGCGCCGAGCAGGCATCGCAATCGCCGCCGCACGGACATTGCCAACCAAGTTGCGGGTGGGTGGGTGGGTGGGATGAATGCGCGAGCAGTGGAGTGGGCGAGGTGAGTTGCGCCGCGTCGACTGCGCCGCAAAGAGAGCACCGCGCACATTGCACTGCACATGCTGCACTATGTACACGCACTGAGCCACCAACATTGCGCCTCATTGACTGAACGACGTAGATGGCAATTCGCCCGTATGCACCACCTAGGAGTGGCACGCGCCCCTTGCGCAACAATTCTACCAAGTGGCACATGGGTTGCACAACATTTACGTCGCCAGTAATATTCCACCACGTGAAATTGCACCGGCAAGATCGCATCACGCAGATAGCGCATCACAGATTGCACCACGCGCGGTGCACACCATCTTTGGCACGAGCTTGATGGCACTGCGTAGATTGCATCACCGATTTTGCACAACACAGGCTGCAAGAAACAAGCTGGGCCCACACTGCAAACCATGGACCATATCAAACCATGGAAAAATACTCGTGGCGTTCAATGGCGCGTCAGACTTTCCACGCGCGCAGGTGCTCGAAACAATGTTGAACAACGGAATGATTTGTTTCCTGAATCGAGTAACCCTAACCGGTGAGAGTCGCACCCCAGGGATGCTGAGTTCTGGTCGCAGGGCGAACAAATTGTTCCCCAGAGATATCGACCATGTGATGTTTGTCTGGGTCTCGAATGACCTCCAAGCAGATCTGGAGAATCCTCCCCCTTGAGCGTGTTTGAAGAAGTTGGGTGGGCGCGAAAACCCTGGGTGATACACCATCACGAAATTGACACAAAGGAGCATTCATAGTTTGCTGATTATAAAGTTCGCCCAAAGTTCGCTCCCGGCGCCTCTTGTGGCATTCCGAACCCACATACAACCCGTGATAATCGCATAAAGGGGGGTGAAGGGGGCGCCTTTATCATCCGCGGCACGCGGTGAATTCACAATCTGGGCGCGGCACGCGGTTAATGCAATGCGGGCCCCCAGCGCGTGCAGTCACTAGGGAAAGGAAAGACAGCGCGCGCTCGGTGACATCCTGCGCTGTAGAGCTGCCACGCCAAATCGCTCAACCATGCGACGCGGGCCACGCGCGCACGCGACCGCCACCCCCCCAAACCCGACACCGTACCCGTTTCAAAATATCGAACTGACGAATTTATGGACGAACAAGCGGTTTTGCAATTTAGATGTTCACGATCGGCATCGTCGATGCCGTCGCTTTCGCCGAAGCCCTAACATTGAACACGCCCCCAGCATCCTCATCAACACCGTCGTGATCACCATCGCGAGTGTCACCGGTGCCACCGCCACTATTACCATCAATTTCATCACCATCGCCATCATCGGTCGACATCGCCCCGCCCGCAGTCACGAACATCATTATTGTCCTTGCTATCGGCGCCCTATTGGGACGCTGCCAATATATTGCGGGCGGGTGGGTGGCATGGTCGCGCGTGCATCGGAAGTGGTCGCGCGCGGATGCGGTCAACAGAGGTCGAAAGAGGATTTCGGATCCTCTTCCGCAACGTGTAATTCCCCCCGGGGAAGGTTTGGCCACTGCTCCTTATTGAAATATACCCTCTCCCCAACTCTCCCCAACCGAGCGGCGACAAAACAGGGCCAACGCCACCCGCCCCATCATCAGTGCCAAAAAAAATGGAAAACGCAATTCGCCGTAAAATATTGGGTCACGTTCGGGGGGGGCGCGAGCACTTTCTCTTGACAGGGACGGCGGTACTGCCAGCATGTGGCCTGCTGTGCGCAGGGCCACCATCCCTGTCAGAAACCATGCAAACGACACTTCGCGGCCACACCTGGATCCCCCGCGGCACCCCGAAATCACTTTGCACCAATTTTTGACGAGGGCGGCGGGGGTGCTGGCGTACTGCCTGCTCCCGACGTCCCCCTTGCACGCGCGCTGGGGGGGAGGGGGGGCACAAGCGGAGACTCGACGAGAGGGAGGAGGGCCTCGGCGCGATGACGACGACGACAAAGACGACGACAACGCCGACGACGACGACGACGACGGCGAGGAGAACGACTTGAGTCGGAAGCTGAGTCGGATCGGGCCGCGTCGGCACGAGGTCGGCATCGAAGCGGATCGGCCACGCCATGGGGGCACAGGGGCGCCAGGCAGACATCGGGCCACAGCGGACCGCTGGAGAGCCAACATCTCCTCGGATCGGGCCCCCGGCAACTCGACATCGGGCGGGACCGAGGGGAGCGAAGACTAGGGCTCCCAACTTCGCGCTTCGCGCTGCGCGAAGCGCGAATAACTTCGCGCTCTCGCGCCGCCCCCCCAAAGGGAGAATAGGAGGACGAGGAGGAGGGGGAGAAGGAACGAGGACCGCGAAGCGCGAATAACTTCGCGCCCTCGAGGGAGCCCTTGCGAGGAGGGCCCGGGAGCGAGGCGCGGGGCACGTCCGAAGCAGAAGCCAAGGCGTAGCAGGATTAGACTGGGCGTGTCCTCCTACAGGCGGATTTGGGACGAGCCACAAAAACATAGACAAGCCATGTGCAACAGTAGCTCGTTAAAGGCTTAACGACTTCTGCCGTCCTTCGACTCGCGCTGGAGCGGCCGCGAAGTGCTCGAACTTTCCCTGGAGATCTCTGGATTTACCTGGATTTACCCAGATTTATCTAGATTTACCTGGATTTACCTCGATTTATCTGCTTTTACCTGGGTTTATCTGGCTCGATTCTCACAAGTCGATTGGCGAAAAGTCGACAAGCCCTTAGGGAGTAGCCACAAATGCCAAACAAAAACGTCCCCAGACTATGTTAGCTGTTCTTGAACCCTCCTCCTGTAGAGGCACAAGCCCGACTTATCAGCAGAAGATGGAGAACACCTGTGCGCCATGTACCCCTTGAGATCTCGGAGCCCAGACCCCCGATTGGGCGCCCGAGTTATCCGGGGTAACTCGGGTCCGGGGTAACTCGGGTTTGGGTTCCCGAAAAACGAACCCGAGTTAGCCCTGACCCGAGTTACCCCTGATGATTCGGGGGCTCTGGACGCCCGAAATATCCGGGGTAACTCGGGTCCGGGGTAACTCGGGTTCGGGTTCCCGAAAAAGCGAACCCGAGTTATCCCTGACCCGAGTTACCCCTGATGACTCGGGGCTCTGATCGACCCCCAAGAGGTCTCGACCCATGCCCCGGGACCGGCCTCTCCTCCGGAATCATTCCTTCACGGCCCCGAGGCCCCGTGAGGGCCCCCAGAGGCCGAACACAGCGAAAAACCTCCCGCCGTGCTTTTGCTCATTGCGGGCAATGTCTTTATCCACATCCAGTGCGTCTTAGAGTTTCGGACACTCTTCCCAAGAAACATGAGGCGCACTGGATATGGATTATAATCTGCCTCCCAAAGGCTGAAAATTGATCCATATCCAGTGCGCCTCGGCCTTGCGGCGCCCCTGCCAAGAAAGTCCAAGACGCACTGGATATGGATATAAATATTGCCCGCATTCATGACTCGAGGGGTTCTCGGAAGCTGGAATCCCAGCTCACAGGAAGAGACGGATGCCGCGGCCTCCCAGCCTCGGCCAGCGCGAGGCCACCGCGGGCGCGCACCTTTCTCCGAGAGCTACCGCTCCGAAGGCGCAGGAAGTGCCTGCCCCAGCCACTCCGCCACATCGGCCAGCTCTTCCAGGGAGACCTTGATGGGCCGATTTTCCACCACCACTACCATATGTAGGCGGAGAAGGAGGAGGAGGAGGAGGAGGAGGAGAGGAGGAGGAGGAGGAGGGAGGAGAGGAGAGGAGGAGGAGGAGGAGGAGGAGGAGGAGGAGGAGGAGGAGGAGGAGGAGGAGGAGGAGGATCTCTCCATCCTCCCTTCTCCCCCGTCCTACATCTGGTAGTGGTGGTGGAAAATTGGCCCATCAGACCTCGTGCCCCATGCCAGGGTACTCGCGCAGCTCCACCCTGGAGAGACCCAGATCCTGCCGACTCCGGCGCGCTGCGAGGAGTGGTGCACCAAAACGCAGCCAACCTCGGGCCCGTTTCTTTATGTTCGGCGATAATACGCATTATAGGGAGGGAGGGGCCAAAAGGGGTTTAATGTAACGCCTCCCCCTTGCCGTGCGCACGGCGGCAGTGCCCAGAGCGCACTGGGGGGGGGGGGGGGGGCGTTACGTAAAAGGGGGGGTGGGGGGGAGGGCGGGCCGGGGACTATAATGCCCATTACGCCCCGAGCCATAAAGAAATACGCTCCTCCATGATCAAGACGTGAACACACGTACAGCCGCGCATTATCTGCGAGCGTGCAGGGAGCGAATCAAGTGGACGGCCGCAGGAACGCGAACAAGCCAGGAACCAGGGCGCCTGCAACGACACCTGCATGCCAGGACATGTCGAGACGGACCGAGCGCGCAACGCTTAGAACAACAGAACGGCATCGTTGCTGCTTGAGCGACAAGCCCCCTTTCCGCAGACTGGCCTCCTTCTTCCCCGCCTCCTCCACCCGTCCTTTCCTGGCGAACGGGCCTTCAACCTGCGCGCGGCACCCCAGCAAGGATCGCCCCCGCACCCCCCCCCCGCCGCATGAGATAGAAGAGAAAAACCATATGGACATAAACTTTTGGCGCTGCGCGCGGACTTCTTGACTTTCCGCTGGGCCCCCCTCCCTGGCGCGCGGAACGCGCCGAGGGCGGCGCCAGAGGCGCCGCTGGAGGACACAGCGCGGATCCGAGAAATCCGCGCGGAGCGCCAACAGTTTGTGTTTGCAGCCGATTTTCCTCTTCAATGAGAACAGAAAGGACCAGAGCATCAGACTCCAAAGAGACGGTGAGGAACCTCCAGGAGCCCGTCTTCATCATTCGCGAGGACGCCCTAGACGGGCCCCGCCAGCCACCCCTCCCCTCCTCATGACGTCACGATTCGCGCTGGCGCCGTGAATCAGCCTTTCCTGAGCATTCCCAGACGGCGCCCGCGCGAATCGTGACGTGACCGACCCCCTCCCCCCCTCCCCCCAGTCACGCCCGCTTATCGACAGGGGAAAACATGTCTCCAATACCCGCCCAGGGTTCTCGGGAATCTCCCTATGTCTGCTGCTGGCAAGACTTGTGTCCATATCCACTGCAGCTTGGAGTTTTGGGCTCCCTTCCGCAGAACCCCGAGGCGCACTTGATATGGATACAAACCTGGCTACTAGAGGCTCGATTTTCATCCATATCCAGTTCTATGGCCTTGCGGCATCCCTTCCAAGAAAGTCCAAGACGCTCCCCCTCCCTCCCGGCAAAACCCCCCCCTCCCCCTCCAGGAAACGGGGGGGGTCACTACCGGTTCGAACCCCCCTCCCCCCAGAAAACCGGGGGGGGCCACTAGCCCCGGAAAACCGGGAGGGGTCACTACCGGTTCGAACACCCCCCCCCTCCGGAAAATCGCCGGGGGGGGTCACTGCCCCAGTTCTGCCCCCCCCCCCCCCCACCCCCACATTCTCCCCACTTTCACCACGGTCCCAACCACAGTCCCACTGTCTCCACTGTACCCACCAGTCCCACTGTCCCCGCCGCTGTCCCATTGTGCTGTCCCACCGTCCCCACTGTCCCCATCACTCTCCCACTGTCCCCACCACTTTCCCCACCACTTTCCCCACTGTACTACTGTCCCACTACAGTCCTCACCACCGCCTTCACCACTGTCCACGCCACTATCCCCACCACTGTCCCACTGTCCCAACCACTGTCCCGCTGTCCCCTCACCACTGTCCCCACCACTGTCCGCACCACTGTCCCACTGTCCCCGCACCACTGTCCCCACCACCACCGTTCCCACCACTGTCCCATGATCCCCACCATTGTCCAACTGTCCCGAGGAGTGGGGATCGTTTGCCGGCGGCGAGGGTGGGGGGGGTCCAACGGGCAATGACCCCCCCGGTTTTCGAGGGGGGGATGTTCGAACCGGTAGTGACACCCCCCGGTTTTCCGACAGCAGCAGTAGAACACGCTCTTTCAAATATTGCCCGCATCCGCACCTCATACTGGGAGGCTGACAAGCTACCCCGACTGTGCGGCTCCGTGTCCTCGAGAGCATCGCGCGTCCGCTTGGCAGTGTCGAGCTGGACCTGCCGCGCTCCGCGCATATCTTTAGGTCGGGCATGTCCCCCTACAGGGAGACTCTGGGCGAAAAATTGAAATACCCCCAAGATGCCCCCAAATAGTCAAACCACACTCAACAAATCGTCCCCTGACTATTTTTTCTGTATTTTTGAAGATCCCTCCTGTAGAAGGACAGGCCCGACTTAAGCATATCTCTGGCTGTGTGCTGGTGCTCACCCTCGTGCTGCCCTGCCGCGACGCAATGCAGAGTCGCGGAGGCGGGGGAGGAAGAGGAGGAGGAATCGGAGCAGGAAGAAGAGGAGCAGGAAGAGGAGCGGGAGGCTTCGAAGAGGAGCAGGAGGAAGGAGGAAGGAGGAGGCGGGGGAGGAAAGGAAGGAGGAGGCGCGGGAGGAAGAGGAGGAAGCGGAGCAGGAGGGATAACACCGCAGACGCGGTCGAGGAGGAGGCAGGGCAGCGGCAAAGGCGGCCTGGCTGCCCAGCACCTTTCTCCCCCTCCACTCCTGCAACGGGCAGGAGCAGATCCCAGGCGCACATGGGGTGAGAGGAGGGTATCCCGGGTGGATCCGCCACGAAATTCTGGTCAGAACGCGTCGAAATCCTGGTCAGGTCTGACCTGGATTTGGAGGCCCTCGTCGCCACCTCGAGGGTTCTGACCAGAATCCCGCAGAGCTGTTCCAAGGTCCGTCTTTCCCCTTCGGGGAGGGTCCGCCCCTTCCTCTGCCCCATACGTCGCAGCACCAGGCGAGCCCAGAATCGAATCGATATATCAGACCGGCGCTCGAAATGAATCGGATCGGCAGAAGCCGGCAGCCCAGTCGGGAGAAGTCGAATCGGCGGAAGTCGGCCGACTAGTAGGCCTCTATGGAGAGATCGGAATCCAGATCGGAGTCCGAAGTCGAATCGAATTGAAATCGGAGGCCATCGATACAGTAGTGGCCCGACCAGAAGAAACCTTGCACTGAGACCCCAGGACGTCCATTGATGTGTGGTGCGGGAACGTCGCGCTTTCCATCGCAAAACCACCGAACATCAAGAAGCCCAGGGCATCCTGGAGGCAAGCAGGGTTTCTTGGCATGGGCCTCCACTGTATCGAATCGGATCGGACCGGAGGAATCGAAATGAGCCCTGCGGCACGTCCTCTCCGTCCGTGGCCTGGGCGTGGCTGGGGCAATCCGGCGCGCTGGCCGCCGCTGGCCGGCCGTGGAGACGAGGAGCAGGGCCAGCTGCTGGGGTTCGAGTGCCGGGGGTGGGGAGGAGGAGGAGGAGGAGGAGGAGGAGGAGGAGGAGGAGGAGGAGGAGGAGGAGGAGGAGGAGGAGGAGGAGGAGGAGGAGGAGGATGAGGAGGAGGGGGGGCCTCTTGGGACTCGTTCGAGGCTCTTGGTGAACGTTCCCTTGTTCGGCGTGTCGACATTGGGCGGAAGGGGGGGGAAGGAGGGGGCGGCCTGGCTCTGGACCTCTGCTCAGCGCGACGAATTGCAACAATGCGTCCGTGATGGAGGAGACTCTACCTGCTCGAAGCGGGCGCCAAACACAGCACAGCCAAAATCTACTCGACGGGGAGGGCCGGGGATTGGGGGGGAAGAGGAGGGGTGGGGGGGGGGGAAGGGGGGGAGGACGGAGGTGCGCGGGCCCGCGCCGATCGGCAAAATAGTGAGTAGTAAGACAACGAGCACTTGCAGGGTGTTCCTGGGGCCCTGCCTGGGTTCTGTTATCGCTGTGCGCTGGCCCTTGTCGTGTGTGTGTGTGTGTGTGTCCTCTGAGGGCTCGGAGGGCTTTTTTGCCCGAAAGGAGTCCATCTCGGGGATCTTCTGACCCGGGTCAGCCCAGACCCGGGTCAATCAGGCCTTGCAAAATCCTGCGCCCAAGCCCAGGTCGATGCGAAGGATCCCGCAAAATCCTGTAGGATGATGCACCCAAGCCCGGGTCAATACGACCCTGGCCTGCAAGATCCTGCAAGATCGGGTGCTCTGGCTGACGCCCGCTTGGGGAGACCAAAAGGTACCGATCCCGTTACTCCCCGGACCTTCCCCGGGGGGCGTTCTGACCAGGATTTCGAGGCGAGTCCAGCGGTGGCGACGAGGGCAGCCCGGGAGGCCCAGCACGGGGGACGCGAGGGGAATGGTAGAGGCATGGGTGCCGCTTCTGCCCCTGGCCGTTTGCACTGACCCCCTGACCCTGCAGGATCCTGTAAGATCGGGCGCTTATGGTTGACCCCCTAGGGGGCCACATGCGAACCCTCCCCCTCAGAAATCGTGGGGGGTAGGGGGCAGGGTTCGCCTGTGGCCCCCTGCCCCCGCTTGCGCGGGCCCCCGCCTCAAAAGGCTCCCGACGGGTGCCACCCGGGGCCGTCCTGCGCGATCCCGGGCGGCGGCGAAGGGTGCGGGCAGCCCTGCCCGCCTCGCCTGGGCTGGATTCCTCCTCCTCCTCCTCCTCCTCCTCCTCCTCCTCCTCCTCCTCATCCTCCTTCCTCTTACTCCTCATCCTCCCTCTCCCTCCTCCCTCCCTCCTCCCTCCCTCCCTCCCTCCATCCCTCCCTCATCCCTCCCTCCTCCCTCCCTCCCTCCTCTCCCTCCCTCC